AGCTCTCTGCTGGTTACTATTGCAGCTTTCGGGAAGGGTTTTAATAAAGACTCTTATGCAGTGATGGAATTTGGCAGGGCAGACAACCAGGCATGCCAAGTAGCATGGAGAAAGAGACAGGACAAAGGTGACTCTATAGGACTGGACTGTGTAGTGAACTCTTGTGAATTATTTGCAAAGCAACCACACTACACACACTACAGTGGTAGTGAAAAGTATTTTTTTTTGATACATGATTTTTGAAAATTTAGGAAAATCAATCTAAAATTCACAAGATATCAAGATAACTAAGCCCTGGACTACGCTAGGGAGTTATTTTGAAATAACCTCCTCTTATTTCAAAATAATAAGCTGAATTTCCATACCACCACACCTGTTATTTTGAAATAATGGGCTGATTATTTCAAAATTTGTAAAAAAAAAAAAAAAATTACTGGAGATTGCCTATCTCCTATACCTGCAAGAGACCTTGAAAGGTCATCAAGTCCAGTCCCCTACCTTCACAGCAGGACCAAGTACCATCCCTGACAGATTTTTGCCCCAAATCCCTAAATGGCCTCCTCAAAGATTGAACTCGCAACCCCGGGTTTAGCAGGCCAATGCTCAAACCACTGAGCTATCCCTATCCTTACTCCTGCTTTCCTCAAGGAATAAGCTTATTTCAAAATAGTTATTTTGGGAGTTATTTCAAATTTAGTCATTTCAAAACAATTTCCTAGTGTAGCCATGCCCTAGATGCAAGCCTTCTGAGCTCGAGTCAGTTAACCTAGGGCTAGACTGAGACTCATGGCCATGTTGTTGGATTTGTATTTGGTTGTTTTATTATTTTTGTGTCTTTTCCCCAGCATAGTGTACGCCAGTGTTTCCCAATTTTATTTGGCCACGGAACCCCTAAAGTTGCCTTAAAAAAAAAAAAAAAAAAGCCCCTGCTGCGTTTCGTCGAGGGAAAGAAAGAAAAGCCCTCGCCATGGCTCTGTCTCTCTAACAAGGGGTGTGGGAGTGCCGGCTCTTCGTGGAACCCTTGCTTTCGCTTCCTGGATCCGCAGGGTTCCCCAGAGCACCAACTGGGAAACACTGGTGAACGCTATTACTTTCTACTGTTATTTTCAGTGAGGCCTGAGTAGGAATAAAAAGAAAGATTTTACTGCCATACATCTCCACTATCTGCCTGCCCTACAGCGATTGGGACACAAGCCAAAGGGGAGGAGAAGCACAGTGCATAGTGTCTGTCTACTCAAGCAAAACACGTTAATTTGAAACAGGAATACATTCACTATAAATAAATAATTCAGTTACAAGTTAAAACTTTTCTATAAACCCTGTTCAAAGCAGAATGCCGTCTTAAAGGGATCAATAGGAGATTCTCTCCTTCACAGATAATCTGGTCAAAGACAGAGTACACTGACAGCACTCACTGTTGAATGAGTTAAGTTTTACCATGTTTATCGTTAAATACAATGTTCATTTTAAAAAGGCCAATCCCCCGATTTTGATACATGATTTTTGAAAATGTGGGAAAATCAATCCAAAATTCACAAGATATCAAGGTAACTAAGTCCTGGTCTACGCTAGGGAGTTATTTTGAAATAACCTCCCCTTATTTCAAAATAATAAGCGGAATTTCCATACTACCACACCTGTTATTTTGAAATAATGGGCTGATTATTTCAAAATTTGTACTCCTACTTTCCTTGGGGAATAATGCTCTGGTCACATCTGGCATCTCCACTGCTCCCCTTCTATGGAACTTAAAACTCCAGACAACAGAGAAGGGCTTGTTCAACCTTAGCTGCTTATATATTGCTATTCAAATTGATGGCCAGCTATTAGATTAATAAGACAGAGTCACTTTAACAAACCAAACTCATCCGTGGACTAGTTTCAATTAATATACCTTGAGAAACAGAGCATATAGTGCAGAATGTCAAAGTAGAACAAGGAATAGATGCTTCTGTTAATAATCTTTACTGAAGCTTGCCAAATAGAAATACAATTTTGAAAGATTGAAATCAAGCAAATGTGTCAACGTTTATCCATAAACAAAATTAGAAAAGGTGCAGAAGAGTAGAATGAGGCAGATTAATTGAAGCATGAGAGTTGCAAGTGCTATACAAGAATTTATCAATTATGATCAATTAAGAGGGTGTTTTAACTGAAGTGCACAAAATGTTCAATGAAATAGAAAATGTCAATTAAACTTAGTACTTTCCATCAACATAGAAAAGAACAGAGAGAATGCAGCAAAAGTAAAAAAACCAACAAAAAATCCACCCTAAAATAGGCAGCTAATGCTCAAAGCTGAAAAAGAAAATGGGATTTAAGTAATGTTCCAATCAAATGTCAAGGAGGAGGAAGACTGTAGTAACAGGATGAGTTATTTGATTTGACACATGGCCTATTCTGAAAGTTATATTTGGTTTAAAAGTTTAACTGGAAAACTATAGTCAGAATGGAAGTGTGTCTGTTTGCTCCCTAATGATATGTTCCCCTAATAGCCAGGCTGTGAGGAAATCACCTGGAAAAAAAAAAGCTTAGATTTAGCTTTATTTAAAAATGTGTAACTTCTGTGAAAGCTTGCTAGTTTTCTGCCTAATGATCCCAAAAGAGCAACTGATTTTCATGTGAGCTAAAAAACTTTTTTTTAAATTTTGGAAAAAGGAACATTAAATGAATATTTTTGGTTTCCTAATTGGCACCAAAGTTTGATTTAGTGAGGGCATTCACCATATGTTTCTGGGCTCCTCTCAATTTTGATCACAGCTTTGAAGTTCACTGTGAAGATGCTTTTATAAATTGGAATGGCCTTCTGCAAGCTGGTGTCCTTGCAGTTCTGTTTTAAATATCACATTTGCAGGGGCAACTGAAGAACTATGACTGCATCCCTCCATGTCATTTGGGAAAAGGTGTAATGCTTTTAGACACAATGAAAATACCTGGCTGTGTACTGAGACTGAACCACAACATAGAGTTATTACAAAACTTGTCAAGGCTGTGATTTCATTTTGTGAAATGAGCATACCTCAACCTCCTTTCTTGTAGTTTATATCAATTTAACTACAATACTCTGCATGGTACATTTTACTCTCTATATGCTAGAATAACATTAACACAGAGGCATATAATATGATCATATCCTCCTGTGAGATTGCAGAGTCATGAATTAACTATAGTTGCACAACATTTTAAGCCTTTCTGCCCCAGCAATAAAAGTGTATTGACAATTTATCCCTCATGATCAAAACTTAGAAATCTGATGTTGCTGGTTAGTCAATGGGGGCTTAGTATCACTCTCAGTTACTAATTAAAATAGCATCTTAACATTTTCAAAACAGTTATACAAACTATTAATCCCATATTCCTCCCTACTATATAACAAACATAAATGTACAAATGTAGTATATTTATTAACAAAAATATTAGTAAAAGGTAGTAAAAGCAGGAAAAATAGCTCCTGATTTTGGCCCCAATACAGAAAACCATCCTTAGTGAACAAAGCATTTCAGTGTGTGCTTAAATCCCATTAAGTAGGACTTAAGCATCTGCTTTTCTGAATCTAGGCCTTTATCTCTTCCTTGCTTCAGCAGCAGACTGCAAAAATGGCACTTCTCCAGTGGCTGTGTAGGACTGGGTCAGGAATGTAGCTCTTACAAATAAATGGACTGAAGCAATCCTCACTGGGAGGGGGAAAATGTCTGCAGAATCGTAGCCCTAGTTCAGGCATGTCCAAAGTCCGGCCCGCGGGCCAATTGCGGCCCGTGTTCCGGTTTAATACGGCCCCATGGGTAATTTGGCAATATCTATCTTTTACGGCCCCCACGAATCCATATGTATTGAGATGAATACATTGTAAAATCTCAGTTAATGTCAGTTGGTCTAAATCAGTTATAAATATATTTGGACACAACATGTATACTTGGTGTTATGTTCCTGTTTATATTTTTAGAACTTAAAAAGTTGACAGACAACCTTTATTACCAATAATATGTAATGTACTTTACAATGTTCCTGACATATATTTCAGCTTCCTGGATTTTTTTTTCATCTGGCCTTCAGATATGAAAGTGATTTAAAGTGATCCCAGAGTGATTTAACACCTGTTTAGATTTGTCATCCATGTGACGAAATGAAAAGTATGCCGTTTGCAATAAAGTTTGCATAAAATAGTTAATTTGCATTTAATTTGAATGGTTCAAAGAATGTCAGGCAAAATGGTCGGCCCTCACGCATGTTCACTTCATCAAATATGGCCCTCTTTGAAAAAAGTTTGGACACCCCTGCCCTAGTTAAAATACCCTTCATTCTAGTTGTGAGCAACACCTGAAAATGACATTTCATCTTTTAGTAGGATTATAGTAAGACCAAACTCGAGACCAAAAGTGAACCCACAATGTCTCAAGAAGTAAAATAAAAATTCAGGAAAAGATTAGCTCAATTTTCAAAACACAAAAGATTTTGAAAAATACTATTCAGGGCTGCTATGATGAGTTTTAAAGTTCAGACTCCCATTTTATATACTAAGACTTATTCTACTCTTTTGGAAAAACTTAAAAAACTACAAATAGTCCGGTAGCACTTTAAAGACTAACAAAACATGTAGACGCTCATGGTACCATCTACATGTTTTGTTAGTCTTTAAAGTGCTACCGGACTATTTGAAACCTTTGAAACTTCTACTCTTTTGGACCACTAGTTTTTTAAAGCTATTCTCCTCTTCCAAAGATGTCAATGTCCTCATGAAATGTAAAATGGGATTTAGAAGTCAACTCACAATCCATTTTCTGTGATTCCTGATCTCATTTCTGGTATCTGGGGCAGAGCTTCTGGACAGAGAGTTCAATAACTAACAACATATTGATCTGGTACTGGGTTATATTAAAAGGTCCTGATACACAAAGCACTTAAGCCCCACTAACTTTGGTTAAAGTAACGCCTATGCTTAAGTGCTTTGCCGAATTGGGACCAATACAAACAATTACAAAAAGGATAGATATTTTACTTACTCATGTCTTTCGTATCGGAGGGTTTCCCGGATAGACCATGCAACCTGGTATGGTGAAGTTTGCTCTGAATCCTCTAATTCTTCTCCACTGTCTTCAGACCAGTCCAGCCCTGAGTATGGAAGAATTGGAAACATGAAGTCTGGATGAAGGAAGACTGCAATCCTCAAATATCTGTGAATAACCTCTGGCAATAACCACCATCAATGGCCTCTGCCAATTCTATGTCATACATAGCACAGTAGGGAGGATGCATTCTATTTGATTCATCATGTAATTTCCTCAATAACCTGTGGGCAGTTATGATAGCAATTCACTACAGTGTAGAAACAGCATGTAACTGCATTTTTTAATGACCAGTTTGTTATCCCTTTAATATCTTTATTGGATTTTTTGATCCATAAATATATTAAATAAAAACTAAAATTACCATCAGTCTTATGTAAAGACTAATATTGGTTGTGCCAAATGTTAGATTTTTTACAAAGATAAAGAGGAAGTCTCTACCATGAAGAGCTGACAGTTCAATGATTAATAGTCCATAGTTTAAATAAGAGATATATAGTCCTGTTATTTTTATACATATCATAGACCTCCTGCTCCCCCTGCTGAAAAGTGTGGAGAATAGAAAAACTATGGGTGAATGCTACAGGGACAGAAGGGGACACACAGTTACACTTTATGTGCTCCTCTGCTCTTTTCTGAGCAAATTGCCTGCAATTTCCACCAAGTATCAGTGAGAAAGGGACA